GAATTACTACCTCAAAAATAATACAACTCTTTCATTTTTCCCAGAATAATCATGTGGGTTTATGGGCATGCTCATCACTGCTGTCTGTGTGGAAGAGAAGATCAAAGAGGGATTTACTGAACTGAACTGGCCTAGGCAGCCTTTGCGGATATCTCTCACACTGGACCGCAGCCCAGATCCTTTTACTCCGGTGCATGCACTTAGAACATGAAAATGGTAAGATAAATGCCAGTGGTATTATTACTTTATGTTGCAAGAACATTTTATGATCTTCCTAACTCTGTGTTTTTAATGGAAACATCCCCACTAAGGAAATTGTCAATAAATGCTGCTCAAACTACCCTCCCCAGATACTGGAAACCAGTACATCCATTTCTCTGTACCCTTGCCAAGTTGTCTGCAAATGCTTTGTCTATTTTCCTACTGAATGGTTAGACAAACTTGTGATTTTTTTTCCCTTTCTTAACACAAACCCAAAAAGTAGGAAATAAAACCCAGTGGTTAAAATGACATAGTTTCAATAGGAGTTCTGTAGCAGTCTCACGTGGAAGTCATGAGTAACAGCCTCAATTCCTAAATAGCTGTTACTACTGCTTTTTTGAGCATAAGTAACACAGAATATAGAGAGCAAACAAAGACGATATGAGGCTGATAAAAAATTTCAAATACTTTTCTAACAACATGAGGCCCATATTTTAGTATTTCATTCCTTTTCTCAAACAATGTGGACATTTATAAATATGAGAATATTTAGATATACAGACCTTAATAAATGAAGTGTTCTTGAAAATTTTATATGGAAAACCAGTTAGCTTTCATTTCTTCACAATTTTTATGGATTTATCCAGATCAAGGACAACTCCTGTGGCAGTTATCCGGGGTAACAGGAACCCCAAAATTTGAAAATAGGAATAATATCAGCAAGAGAAAAACTTCAATTCTATGTGACACAATAAATTACCAAAGTGAATTTTATTTACAATAGCTAAGAAAAACAAGAGAGACCATCTGAACTTGCAACCCAGTGGTCTGATAAAAGCAATGCAAAACTTTAAAATTGGTAAGCCAAACTAACAAGGGATGACTTAAGACTGGGTGCGATGGCTCACGCCTGTAATCCCAACACTTTTTGGGAGGCTGAGGGGGGTGGATCACCAGAGGTCAGGAGTTCAAGACCAGCTAGGCCAAAATATGGCAAAATCCCATTTCTACTAAAATACAAAAATTAGCTGGGCATGGTAGCGTGCACCTGTAATCCTAGCTACTTGGAAGGCTGAGTCAGGAGAATTGCTTGAACCCAGGAGATGGAGGTTGTGGTCAGCCAAGATCGCACCACTGTACTCCAGCTTAGACGACAGAGTGAGACTCTGTCTCAAAAAAACAAAACAACAAAAAGGGTTACTTGAGTACTTTCCTGAGGCTGATTTCAGAGGAACATAATTTCACTATAATAATCTATTTGGAATGAAATGGAAAAGAAAAATGCAGTTGCAATGTTTAGGAAACTAAACTTTGGGTCTTCAGGGCAGATTCCATCTGCTCATTATTCTGCTTTCCTCTCTATTAAATAGGACCAGTAAACCTTGCCCTGCCTGACTGTTCAAATGAAAATGGAATGAACAGACTGCTACTCCAGCATGGCTGCAGGGAGCGTCATGTCTGGCTGGTCTCTGATGGCTCTTCACAACCTCATATAGTGCTCAGTACATGGCGAGCACTGCTTAAGTACTTGCTTAGATAAATACATCAAAAAAATGCACATAAATAGTAAATGTCTTCAGTACCATAATCCTTCCACCTCCCCTCCTATACTCCCACACCCTACTGAAAAGGATGTAGGAAGATTAAAAGCAAAGGGAAATTTACTTTATATTACAAAAAATGAGTAATTTTCAACTTAAAGTCTCATGTACATAATAACCCATAATCAGGATATATTTCTCAGAACAATCTGTAAAAGAAATTATCCAAAATAGTTACCATTATGCCACTGACAGACTGTACTGCCAAGAAACCAGTTCCGTGTGGAGTCACAGGGCCTTAAAGGAAAAGGAAAAAAAGAAATATAGCAAACCATTAATTTTAGATTCTAGGTTTACATATTGGATATGAACATTTACATCTGGATACAAATTTACCTATTTACTCCAAACTACCTTCCCTCTCCCAGAAAAGAGAAAAATCTTAGGAGTGGAATTTTATGAAAGGAAAAGCACAAAGCTGTAATGATGCAGACTGTAAGGTTTAATCT